AGCCCCGGACACCGCAGGAGCGCGGTGGTGACCGGGGGCTGCAGCCGAGGCTTTGTCTCAGTTCAGGCTAGAGAGAAAGTAAATTTAGGGGTTGAAGTTGCAAATTTTACCTGTGTTGAAGCTGTAGATACGCATGCAGGGGTCCAAGGCGGCTGTGTACAGCACTGAACAAGGGCAGCGCAGGAGCTGGAGCCGCCTGTGAGGCTGTGTCCCTACAGCGGTGAAAGACAAGGAGCAGAAAAAGAGTTTTCAAAGTGCTTTTTTATAGGCCAAGTGGAAAATTGTCTAGGTTTCTGGGTAAAACATTTTTTCTTCTTTCTTTCAGGAGTATCTCCCTTAAATCCTGACTGGCCCATAGCAGTAGGATCAGCGTTTCTCATTTGCTCCATTTATTGCATGCTTGTAAATATATTTCTAATATTTAATTTTCAAAAGCAATCTCTTATTAAAGCTGAACTTGGAAAGTGTTTGGAAAGCGGGTTTGCTTGCGGGAACAGATACACATGGACAGGCAGGACGTCCTCTTTGCACATCTGCACCTGTCATTGGGCTTTCTGAGCACCTTTCCTGCATCTGTACAAGGCACGTCAACATCTTGAAAGTGATACTTGTTATTGTGTGTCCCAACTGATTTCAGAAATTAAGTGAAAGACACAGATTGAAACCAAGTAAGATTGAAAGCTTTAAAAGCTTAACAAACTAAGAAGAGCAAATCTAGCGGCTCACATGGCCTTGATAAGAGGCTATAAAGGACAAGGAGTTAAAAAGAATTACAGGTAACTGACTTGTTCATCAGCATCCCTTCTTCCTTAGCAGTATGGAGGCACAAGGGGAACAGGTTGAACTCTCCAGCTTATCAGCATGACAGGAGCAACAGAAGACAAAGATGAGGGGATAGAAAAGATTTGAGGGGCCAGAATTTAAACAAGAACCCCCCAGCCCATGCTGAATCAGCTCAGAGTGTCCTGCTGGCATTGACATCAGCCAGTGACACTGTCCTGCCAGAGCCATCGGAAACACAACTGGAATGGTTTGAACCCCCCCCAACAAGAGAGTGTTCCACATTTTGAGATGTTTTCTGAGATGATTTTCCTCTTCTGCAATGGGCTCCATCAGGCAACGCTCCCCTCCAGTTCAGGTACAGCTTCCCTCTCTGGTGAAGTTTTAATGGCGTAAAGACCTTGAGCATGTCCCGTCGTGCTGGCTTTCAAAGCCTTTCTTTGCTCTCTCTGGGTGAGCTATGTGATGGGACTCTGCAAAATGCAAACCATCTCCCCTGCCTTTCTTATCTTTCCTGGCCGTATAAATGAACGATGGCCCAACAGAGAGCTTTGGCTTGTTGGCTTTGCCTGGCTAACAGTTGCTTCACATGGTTATTTGCTATTCCAGTTTCACCCAGATCAGCAGAAATGTGGTTTATTTCAGGAGAGAAAGGTCTGCCACAACTGTTCTGATTTTAGTACCGCAACAAATCATTTAATTTAAAGAATGAAAGGTAAAAATGTTCTATGGGCTAGAGAAGCAAAAGGAGCAGAAGGAATCCCGTTTTTAATAAGAATAGTCATAAAGAAGAAGAATTTGCCCTCCCTGATGGAAAGGTCCTGTCAGCTTTGAATGGGTTGAAACCTGTGCCACAATCTGTGAAATTTCTCTTTACAGCCAATATCTCTAGAATATAACAGGCTTTCTCAATAGAATAGTGTGAATCATCGTAAAGAACGCTACAGCAAGGATATTACTCTGCAGAAACTTGGCGGCAGCAGAGAAAGATGGCATTGCCCCAGCTCAACAAGAGGGATCCAAGGGAGGTTCAGTACGAGGGTGCACACAACGTTCTTCACATCCCAACCCCAAATCAAGGCCAGCTTAGCACAAACATCAGCCCTGTTTACCTGCAAATCTCAGCAGCATTCAATGGGTCAGCTTTGCACACAGACCTGTAGCATCATGAGTGAAATGGTTGTTTATCTGTTTGGTTTTAGCAAATATTTCCTTAATTATGCCAGGTTCCTGGGGGAACAGGGGCAAGCCCAGGGTAACTTCAGGCTGCATTTCTGACGGCTGGATTGCAGCACGGGCTCACTACCTGCGTGTCAGGAATACAGTGTTAAGAGTTTCGTTAGCAGCATTTGTGCTTGTCGTCAACACACATCTTACAGAAAATTGCTTTTATTTTTATAAATGAGGAAACAGCTTGCCTGAGCTCGCACATCACACAAAGGCGTAGTGACCCCGCTCCTGCTCCCCTTAGCTGAACCAGCAGACAAGCACAGCCGGGCTCTGTACCAGCTGAGTCACGCCTGCAGCTCCCAGGGACACAAAAACATTTTAAAAATGCAGAGAAAGTGGCAAAGGAATGTGAATCAAGACAGAACCAACCTGGAGATGAGGGCAGTAAGGAAGAAGGAAGTATGACATGAAGCTAACTTTTGGGATCGTGGGGAAAAATCCAGCGTGGCTGGGGACCGGGGACCTCTCTAGGAGCTGTGCCCCAATTTGAAGTCAGTGTAGATCGGCAGGTCCGTCTCCAGGACGGTTGGGTACCTCTCACTTGACAGACCAATGTCTTCCCTGGTCCAAACAAGCCAGGAAACATCACAAAGCTGTGGAAGAACAAGCTTTCCCCTTTTTATACAGCCCTAATGGCAAGTGTTCATTTGTGAGAAGAAAACACTTTTCCAGACATGGATGCCCTGATTCTGGAGTGGGAAAACTCATGGCAGAAGGCATGGGTAGGAAGGACCTGTCTTTATCCCCCTTCCCAGGGCCTGGAGGCGAGAGGCGAAGCTGAGCAGGGCGTTATCTCCGCGGAACACAGCCCCATGGTGGCCCCTGGGCTAAGGGATGCACCGCGGCGCTGGCTCCGGCGGCACACGCTCCCGCATTACCGTAACACACAAAGCCAATTAAATGCCTGATTGGATGAAGTGGTCACAGTCAAGTGACCCATTGCCAGCCAGTCAGGATTCAAAATTTCCAAATATCGTTAAGGTATGTGCCTTAATCCCCTCCTACAGATTAAGTGTTTAACCTATTACTGCTGTTTCTGATGAGATACAGAAAATCTGCTGTGCTCAGGGGGGAGAGCAGCCTGAGCGGTGAAAACGAGCAGCGCTTGCCCTGTTCCAGCCCCGGAGCCCCACGCATGGCCATGGAGCACAGCTCACAGCATCTTCCAGGTGGTTCAGATGGAGCACAACAGGGCAGTGTGTGTTGCTTCAAAGGGAAGGCTAATTATTCTGCAGAAGAGAGAGATTTGGCGACTGCCTCCCTTCCCTCCCCACTCTCTCTGCCCCCCTTCGCCCATGAAAAGAGATGTCGGAGAGGGAAAGCTGCTTACCACCACCCTGATTGATGTCCCTTAACCAGGACTGCTATAGATTTCATTGAAATACAGATTTTTGTTGAACTTCCAAGGTAGTGTTGAGAATTGCAATACCTTCCTCGCCCTAGAGATGTGTGAAGGTGATTTCCCCCCTGACCTAGGAAGAAGGAGGAATAATGGTCATTTAATAGATGTGGCGTCCCTCATCGTGTGGCTTGACTGAGACCTGCAACCACTCACATCCTTAAATGCTTTAAGCCATTACAGAAGCTCCAGTGCTTGGTCCCCAGCTGCCATTTAAAAGCCAAGCCAGGAAAAGACGTCACATAGCTGATTACACACAGTGGACTATGATCACCCACAGTTACTCTCTCATTAGGAGTTAAATTAACATTGACTATCGATGGCAAATTGTAATGATTTATTTAGGTGAAAATAAATATGAAATATCATAATGCAATCCCGGTGTTCTACTATGATAATTCAACCCACTTTGTAACCTTACCCTGACAGGGAAATCTCCTGCTGTGCCTTAGCACTAGCAAAGCCGCTGGTCAGTGGGGGGAGGTTGGTTCCACTGTGGTAGGGAAGAGAAGCCAAGAGAAGAGCTCTCTCTGTAAGGCTGGGCGCCGGGGAAAAACCTGCAGGAACGGCTTTGCCCCCTCCGCTCACTGTTTCTCCTACAGCCCTAGTATTTAAAGGCTGTGGGGATGTAAAGGCGAGCATGCAACTGCATGTTTATTGTGCTCCGTCAGCTGCACATGTAACACAGCAGCTCAGATCCAGGTGACCACTTGTTGCCCGATACACAGATGATGGCTACAGGTGAAAAGCACATCTTTATGTAAATATGATTTGAAAGTCAGGTCCAGCACTTCAACAGTAATGGAGTTTTATTTCTAGAACATAGTGCTAGCCCTGAACCATATTATTAGTGCTGGAGAGGAACAAAGCCTGACCTCCTGGAAAACCGATGTGTTTGCAGAGTTTCTTTACTGGGTGGCAGGAGTTTCTGTGGGGCAAAGATGGAGGAGAGAGTTTCCTCTTCTCTCTTACTTTGATGGATGCGTGCTGGAGAGCAGAAACACGAGAGATGTCAGGAATGATGGAGTGATGTTGAAGGCTCTGACAAATGAGCTCTTCAAAGTCCTGCTGCAGGCATTTAAGACGTTACCGTCCCACTGCTCACCTCTGCCCGGGCCATCTCCCCATTGCAACGTGCACAGAACGGAGGAAGCGTCCCCATGCAGGCACTGGAGCTCACTGGTCTGCGTTAGCTTAGCCATCGGAGGAGTTGGGATGAGTACAAAGTGGAAGGGGGGGGCATGTAGACACATGTTCTGTCCTACTGACCTGGTTCACAGGCAGTAAATTGCTGTGGGAATGGAGTAACATCTTCAGCTGCTGCAGTGATTTGCTCAGGGAGCGTGTCAAAACCTGGAGAATAAACACCGTGAGTCCAGAAGCTGTAAATCTCCTTTTCCTTCTCCCTTCTAGCTTGCTGCGTTAGAGAGGCAAGTGTTCGATTTCCTGGGCTACCAGTGGGCCCCTATCCTAGCCAACTTCCTCCACATCATCATCGTTATCCTCGGCCTGTTTGGCACTATTCAGTACAGACCTCGCTACATAGTGGTGGTAAGTAATAACCGTTCTGTGCAGAGCCATCCAAAGCCCTTCGCAGCCTTTGCTCTGGTGGGATATGGCACATGATGAGGAACTGAGTAAAGTCCCTGGGAAATCAGGTACGAGCACTGCGAACAATTTTAGCAGGAGGTGCCTGGCTGTGCCTCGGAACACACTGCTCAGTGTGCTGCACTTCTGTTGTACTTACACCAAACTTGGAAGATTTCAGATAATTATTCCTGGTATCAAAGTAACACCAAGGCACTGCACAACAGAGAGGGAGAGCTAGGTGCTGGATAAATGCGTGGCAGAAGCGTTTGCACTCCCTCCAAACTTCTGCCCCTGCACCTCTAATCAGGCAAGGGACCATCTGCATGTGGGAAACGAGCAGAGGAAAAGGATTGCAGTGGACTCAGGCATTTAACTGTCCCCAGCTGGATCACATGCATAGCAACTAATTCCAGTGACCTCCTACTGTTTATTGTTTCTTTCTCTCCCTCCCCCTTCTCTTCTAGTATGCCATCTGGACTGCAGTTTGGGTCACCTGGAACATCTTCATCATTTGCTTTTACTTAGAAGTGGGAGGGCTCTCAAAGGTGAGTAGGAGCTTTATGGGTGAGTGCCCAGGCTTTGCATCAAAGGGGATGGAGCTTGGCTCTGGGATAAGGGAGGGGTGGTTAAGGTGAGAGGGAGGGGGCTGTCTGGGAGCAGGTCCTGCCCCCTTGCCTATGGGGAGGGCTGCCTTACTAGGGGATGGAGGAGTACTGCTTGTTGTATGCTAACAATGGGGAGCCGATGCTGGTTTCTGGGGCTCTTTGCTGGTCAGTGCAGGTGGTGGCTGGAAAAGCTCTGCCCTCATAGCAGGTGGGGTGTATTTGCTTTTTAAAGGTGAGAGCAAGCCTGGCAGCAGAGCCACCCTGAGGGGAGGTGGGGTTTGAGGGCTGATCCCCAGTCATGATGAAGAGGTGGCTGAGGAAGGCTATGAGCTAACTAGATTACAGCTGATCCTCTTGTGATAACACCTTGGGAAGGAGGTGGGTAACTTGGAGGGGATGGCTGCAGGGAAGAGCTGCAGCAGGGGCTCAGTCTGGCCGGGCTGACTTGGACCCAAAGACTTTGTGGTAACTCCATACCTGACCAGCTCTTGG